GCGAAGCCTTCTAAATTTCCGACAAAAGTTTCAAATTTCCGACAAACCCCCCATTTGCACTCCCCCCAAAGGCTGTTTTTAGCCCTCTTATAGGTCAAAATTTCCGAAAATTTGTCATGGCGGCCACCCCCCCCCCCACCGAGATTTCCGCCACTGCGATTAACACCCTCTAGACAGTAGACACTACATCTTGATTTAATATGATGGAAGAGGACTCACTTTGTCCTTGTCAATAGGTAATGGACTTCGGCTATACAGATTCTTTCTTCCATCGTAGACAGGTTTCTGTCCTCCAAACATCTTATGGTATTGGTTAACCATCGTCTGGACGACAGCATGGTTGACAGCTCGCGGACACTTATCTGGCGTGATGGCAATGTCATAATGATGAATGTCACCGTTGGGCAACTTCAACTCGAAGAAATTCGCTTGAAGCTGAATGTCTCGACCTTTTGTGCCAAAGCCTGGTCGTTTTGGAGAAACAGCCGCTTCTATTGGCAATTTTTGTTCTGGAATAAAATGGACAGCAAAAAAGTTTGACTCTAAAAGGGCTTGAAATAATAGCTGATCACCGAGAAATTGTTTATGATCGGCAGAAAAGCAGTGTTTTCAATTTAAAAAGCAGGGACAGTAATGATTGCCAATTCTTCGGAAATTATTTGCTGTTTTTCTTACAATTTGAAAAATTTTGTGCAGATTTCAATAATTGTTCGATATTAATATTTTTGGGGGTGTAAAGGTACTGGTCCTTTGCATACCCCCACCGCCCTTAACGAACATTATATAAGGTTGACAGAATACCCAAACCCCACCTGCCCAACCTATGTGGCACAATGGATACGCTAAAATACACACCATCCTCCACCCATGCCCCATTGGTGGAGGTTTCTAATGACAGTTGCATATAAAACATAGGGATGGTTTATTTCCCGGCGTAGTTAATCGATGAAAACCGATCATCGGAAATCCAATCAATCAATCAATGGTAATACTCATCATCGATTATAATTAAGTACACCAGGTTTATTTCTATTCTGGCTAAAAGCCTAATGTTTTTACAGAACAAAGCACAAAATGTTTGCTTTTAGGCCAGATAGAATATATCATTTCCTTGCAAACTGTAAACATAAAACAAGAAGAAAGGTCAATATTTGTTCGGACTGTCTATGACCGCAGACTTCCTGTCTAGCTTGTGTCTACAAAAAATATGTATATAAAACACGAGTTAAAACATACCACAAATTTGACAAAATTTACATTCTATTTCGTCCTTATTTCAATTATATTACCTGGTAGTGCAGCCGCCATCTTCAAGGTGGCTTTTCAGCCAGCCAAACGGCTTTAACTTCGCGTATTAAAACATTTTTTCAGGTCGAAAAGTCAGGGCTTAAAAATTTCCACTCCCATTTTTGATAAATTTTTTACGGCGCCCATTTTGAATTATTATTTTTGAATCTGTTATACAAGTGGAAAGCGGCAATAAACTGCTTGAATACTTCATGTTAAGCAAAGTCTATGTTGAAGGATACCGTCGTTGGGACTGCACTGGCCCCGTACCCAGGGTTCTCTTTCTGTGGCCGAGGGCTGAAGAGAACCCTGGCAAAGGCTGCAGAGCATTACGTAATAAGTTATTTTTTCCCCGGGGGGGTTATCAATTAGCAAGAACAGCCTGGTCGCAGGCTACTGTTCCGTTTCTGTTATTCATTGAATCGCTCATTCTATTTGATCGATGTGGCATCATTTATGGCACAGAATTTAGACATGATTTATGGCATGAAATGGCTCAATTGTATAAGATATTTATGCAGATGCTCGTAAACAATGTTGTTATGAAATGTGGTTGAATGATGAAAGGATAATATCTCAAATTTTGTATGTTCAAGAATTGTTAGAAAACTGGAAAGGGTGAGTATTTACAATTATTGTTAATACCTGTTCCACATTTAATACGCTGTTCCGAGCTTTAAAAAACTCAGCTGCTTGTACTTCTGATCTTTTATTCAACTTTTGAATCATTCTTATGTATATTGACAATTGCATGAAAATGTATATGTGAGATCACAGTTGAAATACAAACAATTCACCTCCGAATACATATATTTTATAAAGATTACTTTGAAATATTGCCTTATTTTAGTAACACTGGCACCATATATAAATATAGTCTATACACAAATGAAAAATATAAATTATAAGGAGTCGTCTGAATGGTTAATTTTATGGAAATCAAAACTCACATATTGTCCTAATATTTAATTATAACATAATTCACTTTGAATTACTGTACATGTCATATTTATATATCATAATATACTGAAATCAACTATTTACAATTGCTTTCACTATTAGGCCTCATCAATGAGTGAGACTATAAACAACTGCAGTTACAATATTTTACAATGTATACAATCAACCAGAATGTTACAGTTATACAATTCTAACTGTTCACAATAACATTGTATTTCTCTCTTTTTCAGTAATCATGTCATTCTTACTCATTTCATGACTCACGTGGCATGTTTGTATTGCATGAGCAAACATTTATAACACTGATACAAGTGTGTCCATGTGGGAAAACTATCTTGTTTTGCTGGGTTCAATTCCTAGTGCACACTGAATGTATAATGCTACAATTTTTACAGACGATTATTTAAAGTTTTAGTGATATTATATTATACGTCATTAAATCTGTTAATTTACTGCAGCTGGTACTGCACTGCTACACTGTGTTTAGTACATGTAGTATTATCGTAAACAGTCATACAAGACTTACTTTTAATATTTTACACATATTTATAATTTGGATGCAATTAACCTATTAAGTGCCAGTGCTCTCCATTTGACGAATAAACTTGTTTGGCATCACACAGAGTAA